ATGAAATAATCCAACGCCATCCTGGTGAACCGACCCAAAGTGATGCTACAGCTGAACCTCAGCAGCTGTTCCTGTTCTCTGCTGTTCCCTCCCTCTGCCACTGAGCGGCGCTACAGTCCGCTGAATTTTTAGATCAAAACCATTTAATACGGGCGATCTGGAAATGATTAGATCGATCATCAGTTAGGATGATCGATCTGACTTCTAGAAGTTTTCCCCTGACATGTAATTTAACTCTGAATAAAGAACAAACCTTAGAGATCTAAAGACTGCAGGGTTCTAACATGTTTACCTTCTCTAAGTATTACTTTAGTCAGTTTTAATGATAAAATAATTGACATGGAAATATTTGTAGTTAATTTATATGTATGTTTAAAATAACATAACTTCCTTCTCTGCAGTAAATCAGTAGATCTTTGTTCTGATTATTTTCCTTAAGCCAATGAGCAAACCTGTTTCTATTTACAGGACAGAAAGGCGCTCCCTGTGGAGCAGGAGGACCTTTCACCTCCTCACCTGCTCCTCTTCAGCACCTCCTGCTGGACTTTATTTATTGAATCCTTGGTTCTGATAATGTGCCTAAACATAAATAAAGTGACATGTTTTGTTAATTGGCGCTATAGAAATAGAAAATAATAGAAATGATTCCTGATCGAACCTGCGGTCAGATTCCTCATGTTTTTATTTTATTTCAGCCTTTAATGGTTTTATCTTATTTTGATCAGGAGGTCAAACAATAAAAATCGATCATGGAATATTTTCTTCACTAACTTCCGACTTTAGTTTCATCTTTGTGGGCTCGTGGCGCAGAGGTTGCTTCAGGTAAAGGTGTTCCATTGGATGCCCTGCGCACTGACGGTGACGTCACAGGGTCCATCCCTAAAGCGGTCTGTGAGGTGCAGCACCTGCCAGGTGCGCCTCTGGCTCCTCCCCCTCAGCGCTCCCGGCCCCTCCTCCTGCGGCTGTGTCTCCTGTCCCGCTGCGTCTCACCTGTCTCACCTGAACATGGAGGCAGAGCACCGGGGTCTGGGCCGCTGCGCGTGCAGCTTCTGGCTCGCGGTGGCCTTTGACGTCGTGGGGCTGACGGTGCTCCTCCTGGGGGTCTTCGCCACCGTCTTCTTCTACGACCTGCTCATCTACGCGGGCGCCATCATCATCTTCCTCAGCCTCATCTGGTGGGTGTTCTGGTACTCTGGGAACATCGAGGTTCCCCCGAAGGAGCTGGAGGATGACGTCGGTCTGCTGAAGAAGAAAGGCGGCATCGGCGGCGCGGTGCGGCGGCTCTCCAGCCGCGTGAGCAGCGGCATCAGGAGCTCCTTCCGCCGCGGAGGAGGAGCAGGAGGTCCGCAGGGGATGAGGGGGTCCCAGAAGACCGGGCAGGTGGCCGTTGCCATGGAAACGGTAGCCCCACAGGGCGTTGCGGGACAGATGCCACGCACGACAATGGAGACTTCAGCCACCTGACAGGTGGAGGTGAGCAAGGTCAAAGTTCAACCTCTACCTGCTGCTTTATGGCCTGAAATTATGACGCCATAAAAACCATCAGAGGGATCAAAGTCCTTCTGCTCCTCCTGGAGGAGCTGAGGAAGGAGGAGAACCCAGAACCTCCTGATCA